CCACATCCAGCCACAATGTACAAAAGCACTGGGCTCAGACCCGCCCTTTCCCCCAGGGTACCTGATGTACATGCCCCCTCCAGAGACTCTGGTTTCCTCTCAAGGGACTGCCTCTTCCTGCCAGTCCCTGCTCTGAAAGGTCCCTGCCTTTGGACTGGCCTGCCAAAGGCAAGGACCTGGGGAAGACTCAGACTGCACAGCCATGCTGACAGGGAGCTCAAAGGAGCAGGAGCCCCGGGGCAGAGGCTGTTCCCAGAAAGTGTGCTTTTCACCTGCAGCTCAGCTATGCAGCACAGGCTTTCTGTTGACAGGAGTACAGGGGATGAAGGGCTTGGGGCACATGCAGGGCTTAAAGCAGCAAGGTGGCTGGGAAGAGCACTGTGTACGAAGCACCACAAATACAAGGAACCAGGCAGTAAAACAAAGAGGTGCTGGACAGGCTGACGCACACACAGGGGATTCAGACAAGCCCTGAGTATAGTGCAGACAAGCAAGTTTCAGCAGAGATGGACATCTATGGCCTAGGAGAGAGCAAGGGGCTGAAACCTGCCAACTCTCAAAGATGCTGATCCAGCAGAAACCATTGCTGAGCTGGTGGGGTCTGCTGGCAAACAGCCTGCAGCTGTTGCAGGAAAAGAGCTCCTTAAATCATGCTTCTTGCTGCCCATCCAGGCTGGGCTGGAGGAACATGTCCCAGACTGCACGACATGTTCAACACTACATCTCTCACCTCCTTCTTGCAGAAGCAGCATGTGGCCAACTGTGTTCAAACTGAACCATCTTGATTGAGGACCTAACACAGGGTTGCGACAATTCCTTGCCCTGCACAACCCCCAGAGAGAACCAGCAGCCCAGCACAGGCCGTGCACAGACATAACAGGCACACAGAGCCAGGCTACAGGGCCAGTCACAGAAGAACACAACCTGGAGCTTGAATCTCCTTTCCCCAGGCAGGGAACCCAAGCAGTTTCCAAGCACTTGCTCAACCCCCGCTGGAAGGGCCAGGTACCCTGGACACACCTCGCACTCCCACACACATGCACACCCTCCCACAAGCAGCACAGGGGAACCCAAACACAGCCCTGCTCTCACTCCCACCCTCACTCCTCCGCAACCCAAACACCACGATCCCAGCAACAGCAACACCCTGCAGCATAAGCAAGAGCTGACGAGCCCCTGTTCAGCTGGGCCGCACTGCCTGCCCGCTGCCCCCCCTGCATACTCAGCCGGCGGAGATTGAAGCGGTAGTTTTTCCACTCTTCCAGGTCACTCGTGTCAAACACAGCATTGGGACTCAGGTTGTTCTCAGGGTCACTGAGGATCTCTGACATAACCCCCTGATCCCCCGTCAGCAGGGCCTGCCAGTAGGCCTGGGCAGGGCCATCCACCTTCCGTGTGCAAATGGGCTCCTGACTCTTGTCTCCTCTGCCTGCAATGCTACCCATGAGCAGCACCCAGGGCAGGACCTGCTGCTGTCTCCCAGTCCAGGCTCTGAGTCTGTGGGTACAGCCCCACCAGTGCCCTGTGCTCTGGCTGACGAGCTGCCTGTCTGCCCTGGGGCACTCTGCAGGGATGAAGGGAGGACATATCACATCTCTGTTTGGCCCAGGTCAGGCACAGCTCAGGTCTCAGCTGTTCTATTCTGGGAAACCTTGTGACCAAAGGTTTGGGCCAAGAGGCTGATAAGGACACTCTTCCAGCAGCAGTATCTCAGCAGTCACTGGCTGAAGGCAAAGCAGGGTAGTAGAGCAGCCTGAAGGGTGGAAACAGAGATAGGACACCACTAACAAAACAGAGGGGGGAAGTAGCCTCATGCCCAACTAGCCTGCTGTCACCCAGTTGCTGCCCAGACCACAACAGCACAACCCAGCTGCCTCCATACACCAGCAGCACACCTTTGTCCAGCCCTTGGCTCCTTGCACATATCCAGCACTGCACACCCATTTGCTAGTTCCACTCAAGCCCTCAGCACTAGACAGGTTTTTAAACAAGCCACAGGAAAGTCCTTTTTAATCAAAGCTTAAAGCCAAAGGACAGGTAGAAATAGGTATAAGGATGGGAAACAGCACATTACAAGTAAAGTAAAAACATGCAAGGTAGTTATCCTTTAGACCCTTTCCTACTTTTCCTTGAAATTCAGTCTTGCAAAGAGCTCCTGCACGGTTTTAGTACTCCCTTTCCCATCCTCTCATAGTCCCCTTGCTCAGGATGCCCCATTGCTGTCCTTTCACCTGAGACAGCATCTTCCCCTGCCCTGATTTAGTTGTATAAACTCACTCTGCCCCTACTTTGGTTACAGAACAGTACACTTTGCTTCCAGTTCATCAGCATTGTGTGCATTTTGTTCAGACCGTATGTTCTGAAGAACACATCAAACCGCATGGAAGACTAGTAGTGTTTAGTTTAATTTTGTGTTGGGGAACTATTCAGATCATACAGGTAAAAACAAGTTAAGTGGCCCCAATAGATCACCAAGCAACAATTACCTAGGGGACCACAGAAAAGCATAAGATAGGGAACTTTACCCTTCTCAGTAGTGAAAATAAATGACCAAGGTCTATACCGACAGTCTCCAGCATGCTCTGCCTGCACAGACTTTACCACCTTGTCTAGCTAAAATGTAGTGCACAAAAGGGTAAAAAGAGGGAAGCGCCTGTCAGACTCTCTCACCTGATGGGATCCTTTATCTCCTCAAAGATATAAGCAGGTATCCCACAAGAGCCTGAGGTTACCAGTCACAAAAGCATCACCAAGGAGACAAAAGACTGTGCGGGTTAGTGTCAGTAACACCATACAATTTACACTTCCTCTGGGCTTCCTAAAATATCAATAGGGATGAGCTGGGAAAGATCCGGTTGCTAGAATCAACTTCTAATGTAACTGGTTGAGTAACGTTCAAGAATCTGTCCCTCCGGGCCAGTGGGATACATAACTAAAGCCTTAGGTAGCACGAAGGTTTGCTTTGGGTTTTGTTCTATACTCTTATCTGATAAATTTGGCAGTACATTTTTGGTCTGTGCTTGATCATCTTGTTTGGTTGCATTTTTCACATGTAAATTCTGGTGATAAGAGCAATTTCTGTGTGAAGTTGGTTTACATCAGCTGTTCTGTTTTCTTTGGGGCGCAAATCTTTACAAGCAGACTGACTTGCTGTTCAAGTGTCTATCAGTCCAGCATAAGACAGGAGTTAAAATGTGCAATTAATATTTTGCTGACAAGTGGTCTCAGTTACACAAAGGGTAATGACTTTTGTATTTTTATTCCTAAATAGACTGTAACAATTCAAAACCGGGAAATCTTGGAACTCCGTAAATAATCTTCGCCACTCACAAGTAGCAGCACTTGCATCTGCAAGCCCACCCTAGCTGTTTGTCTCTTGCTAGTGTGGATCCCCACAAAACTCAGTCATGGTCCAGCTTTAACATGTGCGTGGCACAGCTTTGTGCCAGGACTCTTGAAAAGAACCCACACCTCTGGGAAAGGGGCCCTCCTCAACAGCTCCTCCATTCTGGCACAGGGGGCTTTTGCCACCGGCCTTCTGTGGAAAAAGAGTGGTGTAATTATGGCCCTTCCACACCTGACACTCCCCATCTTAAGTTCTGGAAGTCTGCCTGCACCACACTACTAACAGATGGCAGCAAGGACAAGTGCACTTCCAGACTGCTAAGAACATCTCTCCCTTTAACACATCAGCTATGCTGCTTACTGAAAAGCTCACATATGACATTGGTGAGAAGGTGAACAAAAGGGACCAGAAAGTGTGGAAGCATATGTAGTAGCCACAAGATGTATCCAGGCAAGGTACAGTGAGGTATATAGATGGGAGGAAACACCAAGGATGACTGGCTTCTACCTCCTGTCACTCAGGACAAGCTTGCTTCCACCATCTCTCTGGTAAACTAGACTTCTGCTCCCCTTGCCCAAGCCATCTCACAGAACAGAACAGTTTGCAGGGTGCAAACCCTGCATGTGAAAAAGAAACGCCAAACGCTTTTGTTCTGGAGCAAAGCCCCACTCCAGCTGATCACTGTTAACCCTCCCATATCAACCCCCCCACAGCTTCTCAAAGTCAGTATTTGGAGCAGGAATCGCAATGGCTCTGCTTCACACCTGGATTCCACCACCATAAGCAGGAAGCAGGAGGTAGATACAGAGCAATTGTGGCTCAGTCCCCAAGCAGCTACCTACAAGGCTGAAATATAGTCATGCCTTTTCCTCAGGGTATGGGCTAAGGTCTGCCCAAAGGGCACTGCTAAGACCTCCCTGCTGTTCCCAAAGCATGCCACAGCCTCAAGTTTCTAACGAACAGGAGTAACAGACCCAACTTAAGACATAAGGCAGGAAAAGAACCTTATGCCACCTGATGCCTCCTCACCCAAGCACTTCATCTCATGTGTATTTCGCATCCATGCCAGCAATCTCCAACCGGACAGTCCTGATGTTCCTCTCCAGCAGCCCTTCCAAGGGCCCTATTCTCACCATTTTCCAGTAGATCTACCTCTGGCTACCTTCAACAAGCCTCCGACCATTTGGTCTACAAGCCCTGGAACCCTCCTTCCTCATCCAAAAGCCTTTCTTCCCAAGTCCCTCTTCCACCACCCTGTCTCCACCACTGGGGGTTCTTCTCAACACTTTTCTCAGGTGTCTGTGCTCTTTCTCTGGTCTCTATCCTGAGTGTTTTCCATCCCCCCATGTCCCATCCCTGCACACCCACCAAATTTCCTGCTAGTCCAGCGTAGCTCATCACCCTTGGTCTCAATGATGAGATTGATGGCTGCACTCTTGGTGAAGTACTTCTGCACCATCTCCAGGTTCCCAGTGAAAAGCGCATTCTGGACCAGCAGATCCCGGCACTCCAGTGGCTCCAAGCGGCTGTTCTGCCATCCCTGGCCAGTTTGGCTCAGGCTGTGCTCACTGTGGTGGTACTGGGGCCTTATACACCGAGAGTACTTCCACTGATCCAGCTGCTCCTCATCCAGCTGCTGCAAGCATTGTGTGGCAGAGCTGGAGGGAAAGGTGCAGTCCATTACGGGTAACAAACAGGACAAGTCTGAACCTTACAGTAAACAAGCTGCTGCAGGCAAGAGCCTCTTATCCAAGGCTGTGTCCTTTTGCAGGTTCCAACCCCCCAGCATCTGGCTGGATTCAGGCACAGGCCTGACTCACCCAGTATAAATAGTCCTGCTTGGCAGCTCCCCTTCACCACCTCCCTGCCTTTCAAGAGCTTATTTTCAGCTGCGGGATGCAATCACCAGCACAGATTAGGCACAGGAGAGGGGTAGCAGGCAACCTTGAAACACTCTCCTTGTGCTTGCTTGTTTGCTCTGCCAAGTCTCTGCTCTATACTGCACTGCACTCCCGGGGGAAAGAAACAGAGCGAGGCGGGGGCAATCACGCCGGGGGTAGCTAGGGAAAGGCCTGCAGCAGAAGTGGCATCAGAAGTCTTAAGGGCCTGAGTACAGAGGCCTTCCCCACAGGCAACTCCACAGGGACCAAAAACAACCAAACAACCCCTCAACAGCCCCACACACTGCTCTTGGGAAGTCAGTGCCTTCACTAGGGCAGCGAGGCTGGCTGCCTAGACACAGCTGAGAGGAATAAAGGAGGGCATACAGGCAAGCCCTGGGAAAAGCAGTTTGTATGACATGAACCAAGAGCCCTGGCAATAACGAAGACAGTCTCCCAAGCAAACCTCCAGAGGCTGGCAAGTGCCTTCAGGCTTCTGAGGGGCATACACCCAGCTATGCCATCTACCTCTACAGCCACAGTGGGTCACATTTGGAGAAGTGAAAGATGATGAAGTCCCCTACCCTGGTTATCACAGCTCACTCTGCAGTACATAGAGTGGACCCCACTAGCTAGGATGTTGTGGTAGCTTGATATAGGTTTGGGACCTGTTAAGCTTAGTTCACTCTCAAATTACTGTCCTGCAACTAAGCTGTTAATTGCTGTGTCCCTGCCAAAATGAGAACCTTCCAGCTGGGCAGGCTGCAAGTGCCAGCAATGGCAACAGGGACTCATCAGCTGCTGTGGGAACTTCAGCCGGTATTCTCTACACAATCCTACAACTGAGAGTGTCTGGGGTCACTGGGTGATGTAGCGGAGACCTGCGAGAGTGTTTGAGGGCTAACAGGGGTGGCCGTGCACCCAGACCACATACCTCTACCTGGAACTGCTACACTGACCCTCTGACCACACCATCTATCTTGCAAAACAGGCAAGTTGTGTCACTTGTTAATATTAAACACATACGTGACTAGAAGGTTTTTTAGGGGTTGAGTGCTTTTTCTTCTTTATTTTGGGGCTGGTGGTGGTTTTTTGTGGGCGTTGTTGCTGAGGGTTTTTTTTTCATATGTGCCACAGGGCACATGGAAGACATGAGGGCCCACACCCCCCACCAGCAGGCAGCTCTCTTTTTCTCTCTCTTCTCTGTCTTGACCAGCTTCAGGTCACAGTGCTGGACTCCGTCTGCAAAGATGGGGCAGCTGAACTTCACCAGACTCACTCTTACAGCTCCATTTTGCCCTACCTCCCAAAGGCACTGGGGCTCTTACCTTGGGCCTCCCTATCTCCATGCCATATCTATCAGGAGAACATCTCATCACATCTCAGCCCCTCATTCATTGTCACATCACACCCTCCCTGCTTGCATTTCAGCCCACTGCCACCGTCAGGGAAGAACTGCTGCCTTCCCCACAGCAGACCCACCCTGTTCCCTACAGCACCTCCCAGCCATCTCCCTTGGGAGGGCAGCTGCACAGGCAGCTGACAGAGATGCAACACAGCCCGGCTTGGGTGAGCTGAACCACAGTGCACTTGAAAAATAAACCTTGGCAGACAGAGCAGCCAGGTTCTCCCCACCTCCAACACAACAGACAACACCCAGGGTCTCAGCAAGGAAAGCCAAGCATCCCATCCACGTACAAATCCAAATGCCTGCATTTGGCATTGCCCACCACCCCCACCACAGTGTGCTAATAAGCAAGCACCTGAAAACCCAAAATGGGGTTATGCCTCTTGCACCACAGCTGTGGCCACAAGAAGAGGCAAATGGAGAGCAGATACCCAAGCCCTACACATAGAAGATGAAACGTAGGGTCCTGAAGAATAAACCCACCAGACAGTCCTATTCTTTGAAAGCAAGGTTAAGGTTTCGGCTGGAGCCTTACTACTCACAGGCACACGCATAGGGAGGGAACAATCATGGCAATACACCACATAAGACCATCTACAAACCCATGCATATAAACCCTGCAAAGTTCCAGCCATTAAGTTTCAGCTTCTGGTTTCTTGATCTGTGTGGCATCTACAGCAGTTCCAGTCCCCTCCCAGCCACAGCATGCAGCCCCTTACTTGGGCAGTACATTGTGAATGCTCCATCAAATATGGATGAAAGCAGCACATCCAGGCTCAGGGCAAAGAACTTCCTTGCCCCAGATTATGTCAGTTAGCAACCCTTCAGCATAAGGCTGTGGGACCCATCTCCTCCATCCTGAGGCCATCCCACCACATATGCTTCCCAAACACACTGGAAATTCACACTCACCAGCCCTGGGGTGGGACGAGGGAAAATTCCACCTCCTAAGAACATTTCCTGCCTCTACCACAGAGAGTCCCCATGTTTTATACCCTGCCCTTCTTCCTCCAATCTGACATTTGCTCCTACTCCAGCTTTGCTTCTGCCCCCATATCTGCTCAGCAGTCTTTTCTGAGAAAAGGATGGTAAAGCAAATCATTTCCTATTCAGGAAAGCAGCCAGCAAGGTCATGGTGCAAGTGACATAGATGCCACAACCCAACATGCCCTTAAGTATACCTGAGGTTTAATCCTCACCCCACTAGTGTTTGGTCACAAGGTGGCACCAAGCAAAACCACAGCCAAGATCCTGACTAGAAGGGGCTGAACATGATCAGGAGGAAGAAGACAAAGGGAGAAGACAGAATACTGTTCATGCCACCAAGGACAAGGATAAAGTGGTTCCAGGAGCCTTGTACTACCACAGAGAATTTCTATTTTGCACAGGCTGGGAGGACAGTGGAGGGTGCCCATGCAGCAGTTGGAGAAGAATGGGGATAGAGAACAGCAGCAAGGCCACCCTCCCATTCAGCCAGTAACCAGCACTCAAGGAACTGCTGCTGAAGCTGCTGCTCCATCTGCTCCCTCGTGCCTAGTCCCTCACACAGCTTCCTGGGGACATTCAAGAGCACATGCTGGAACTCAGCTTCATAGTCAGCCTGGCACCGGTGCTGCAACTCTTCTCCCAGCTGTCCTCAGAGCACAGCAGCTGAATGCCTTGAGGCTGCAGGGTCTGGAGCATGCAACAACACAAGCGCAAGGCTTGTCAGAAAGTAAGCACAGTTCTGCATTGAGCACGGAGCTCAGGTGAAGGACAGGGCACCTGAGTGACAGGCCCATCACCAAGCATGCCCCACACACCCCCATTCCAGAGGCCAGCACCCAACTGCTGTGATCATGCCCCTTGCTCCTCTTGCTGCAGATGACAACAGGCCTGCCTTATCAAGCACATTTCTCCCTGGTGCCAAGCAGAAGCAGCCATGGTGAGGAAGAAACATTAGGAGCATCAGAAAGAGGTTGTGTGGGGAGTGAGCAGTGTGCGTGTAAACGAGCCTGTAACGAGTTTGTAATATGCATGTGTGGCACGGCCTGCGCAGCGTCATCACAATGGTACAGGCACTTTCCCGCCTCATTGCCTCCCAAATGGATTTTAAATATCATTCCGAGGACACAATTATTTAAAACGCTGAACTAAACACTCGCTAATGGGAAAACGGCGTGTGGCCTGCAGCAGCCATTCCTCATGGGGCCACTCTGCCCATGTCATCCTCTTCTCCAGCCCCACACACACCCTGCATGGGGCCACATGGAAGCATCCTCCTGCCACGTGGAGACTGTGCAGAGTACCACTAGGTTAACTGCCCTGAGCCCAGCCCAACACCCATTGCTTACACAAGAACACACTTTTTGAACCCATCCCATTTCTGTCCTCAGGCCCCAGAGAAGCACGCCACCCTGTCCCAAGCTTCTCAGCACTGGGGGCACCATGAGTCAGCCACTGGGGCTCTAACAGTCCCTGGCTGTGGCTCCATATCCAGAAGCACCTTACCAGACAGCAGGTCTTTCAGTCTGCCCCCATGTTTGGCAGCAGGTAGAGCTATACAAGGAGGGGACATTAGAACAATGATGCCTTCTGACTCCCATTGTTATACAGCCCTAGAGACTACAGATATCAAATAAGACTTACTTTTTCACATAATTAATTCCAAATACCTTCCCCACCCCCAATGCACAATCCTGAGCAAGGGAGATGAAGGAGGCAGCACTATTGTTGGCTACAGCCGAGACTCCAGAGTAAACAGAGTACGAAGACAGAAAACACAAGGAAACAAACCATTTGCAACCATCCTTGCTGGGGAGAACAGAGACATGGCTCCAAGGATGCTACAGACCCTCAGTCCCATTACAGTGCTGGCAGCACCAGGGATAACAGAGCCTCAGACAGAAACATGTGTGCTCATGGGGGAGTGTCTGACCTTTGATCATCACTCATCTCCCATTCTCCAGGCAGGAATTCTGGGCCACCTTGAGTTATAGACTCAGAGTTACCATTACTCAGAGACAAGAGCCCACCTCAGACCAAACCAGAAAAGGGAAGGGACATAGACCAGTGCTGTCCCCACACACCAGCAGCTGAGCAGAGAGGATGAGAGTCCCTTGCTGGAACCTTGGCTTCCCTTCAGAGGTTCATATTTTAACAGCTTTGGCACCACCATAGCTATCCATCACCAGCTCATTTTCCTCCGAGTGCTGAACCATTCCTGCCTATGCTATTTGGAACAGTGTCTAATGACGCACCAGAGCAGCCACCTGGCAGCACTGCTGCCAGGGGACACAACAACACGGGAAGAGAAATGCACACAGGTCTGCACACTGGTGCCAGGCTCCACTGCCGAAAAAGCTCCCTCCCCTCAAACCTGCATCACTCATCATAGAGCAGAGAGCCTCACAG